GGCATTTTTTAAATTGATAAACATAAACAATTACAATATATATTTTTGAAAGCATTCTTACTAATTTAAAGCATTTTTTCACACCTGCCTAAAACTTTTGCACAGTACTGTATATTTCTAATATGACTATCCTGTGTTTTTTTTAACTCAGTGTATTTTGTATAAATGAGTCCCATTTTTCATTATATTTGTCCATACAAAGTCTATGTCTATAAGTAATCCTCTCATAAGTAACAAGTATAATCAGGTCCAAATAAACTGTATTATTTTTAAAAATTTCAGCTCTGTAGCTCTGTGTAAGCTACTCCAGTATGGTATCAACACAGATGACAAGCGACTCCAAGATATCAGGGTAAAAGGGGAAGAAATATTTAATATGGAAGAAGGAATACGTACACGATCAAAAGCAGCCAAAAGTGAGTATTAGTATTGTTTCTTAAAACTGAATCAACTGGATGTACCCACAAAAGTAATTTTTAATCCTTTGTTACCTTCATTAAACAGCCACAATTAATATCAGGTCCACTGAGTAACTGGGGCCAAAAATTAATCTTTCCAATGATAAATTTATCTATTGAAATTTTGGATATAGATGTTAAGACAGTCCTTAATCCACTCAGTCTTTAAAATTTGCATACAAAATGGACTTATTAGCAATAAATATTTATAAAAACTAATAGTGAGATCTTTAGTTTTGTAAGTCTAAATAATTCTTAACACTTAAGTTCAGAGCATATGTCCAAATTTTATGAAAAGCGGTGTAACTTATTTATGACTGGAAAAAAAATATTTTGCCTATTTTGCCATGTGCATGACTGGCTATTCTTCTGAGCCAGTTAAACTATTGTATAATGAACATCTTATACAAAATATTTATTATAATGGTTTCTTAATTAAAATATGCCCTGTTATGCCCTGAAATATGTAGCCTGCAAAAAGTTAACTTAGAGACAAATGGTTAACGACTAGTATTGACAGTGTTTGCTCAGATGCAATAAATATTAATTTTTAATAACAGCATACAACAGTGATGAATGTACAAAGAATCTGTGTATACAGGCAGTCCTCATTTAGCAACTGCCTTGTATAACAACCATTTGCAGTTACAATGGTGATGAAAAAGTAACTTTGCAACCAATCCTCACATTTATGACCTTCACAGGTCTATAAAGCAAAGGAAAGCTGAAATAAGATCATAAACACAGTCTCAGTTTCACTTAGCGATCACTTCATTTAATGAACAAGTTGCCAGTCCTAATCGTGGTCGCTAAATGAGAACTACCTGTAGTCAGGCAGTTATTTAGCTGTTGTCAGGGTCCTAGCACAATAGGTTCTCTGATCCTGGTGCATTTTTTGTGCCAAGAGGAGTTAACTACTGCTGGTTTTATGTAAAATATATATTTCAAAAATATACTAAAGAGGCTAGTAAAACATGGAGCACCTCTTCAGTTGGTTGTGAATATACTTTATAGAACTGTGCTTTCTGAGAGTTCTTAATTTCTAAAAAAAATACTTTTTTGGTATCTTTTAGATCCTGAGCGCTGGACCAATATTCCTTTGTTAGTTAAAATCTTAAAGCTGATAATAAATGAGCTTTCTAATGCGATAGAAGCAAATGCTTCTCGACAAACTGCTGCAGAATGGAGCCAAGGTACTATATTGCTAGGTATCTTCTGCTACTCACCCGTGTTATTTGGATTAATTACTACCTTGTAGTATGTTGTACTGATAACTTTCAAGGCAAGGGAAAAAAAAGATGTATACCATCTTGTAGTTATTGGAGAAAAAGCTAGAATATAAATTTAATAAAATACATAAATATGTGACATGTGCTGCTCTAGTACATAATGTAAACAATGCTCACAGCATTGCATGAGTACCAACAGCATATGAGCGATGGTTGCTAAAAAAAAGAAATCCCTGTGTTGGATATTCACATAAGTGTTCATGTGTTCATAATGCAAGCTCTCTCTCTTTTACGGTCTGTTTTATAGAGGTTTCCCTTATGTCCTATGTCATTTTACTGAGTTACTGATCACAAATATTTACAGTAATGGAATCAATTTTCAGTGGAATAACACAAATTATTATAATGTAGATTCTAAAATAAAATTTACTTGGGGACAAAAATGTTAACACTTGATTCCTAGACAACATTACAGCAAACAGTCAGTAAAATTAAATAAATCTGTCCTGCTAGTTTAATCTCTTATTTCAATTAACAGAGGACTCCAATGATATGTGGGAAGATCAAGAAGATGATGAGGAAGAAGAGAATGAAGGGTTAACAGGACAGCTATTGTCAGATATTCTTGCCACCAACAAATATGGTAAGTGAAGATTTTAAATTTGTGAAAATTACTTAGGATTTTTTTAAAAAAACAGATACAATGCTGATTTAAAAAAAATTTCTTTTGAAATCAGAGCAACTGTAATGTTTATGATTAAACTGTTAAGGCTTGATTTTTTCCCATATTTCAATAAAATAATTTAAGTATGGGTAACTAGACACATTAGTTCCAGGAAATCTAAACCCAAAAAACTGCTTCTAAATCAGTTCCGGGAAACATACAATATGAGCTTCTCCACCATGCCTACACAAACATACATTCTTTGAAATAAGAAAGTTGCATATTTTTGAAGGATACACAGTAAGTGAAGTGGTTGACCTGTATCTGGACAAATGAGGGCTTTCATGATTCAATGGTTCTGCATGCAAAAAAATTTTTTGCTTGTAGAAAAAAATAGCATGTTAAACAGAAGGTTTGGCTAGAATTTTTTTAAAATATGATAATTGATTCCTATATGTAGGAATTCATTATTTTGTGTTAAAAGAAAAAGCATTGAATTATGGTTGTTTCCTATTTTATCTACCATTTCTGAGAAATAAGCTTTAGGAGCAGATTGAAAATTGGATTGGGGAAAAGAGTTTGGAAAAATGTGTTTGTTCATTTTCTGTTCTTGCTGTTGTACTGTTTTAGGGATGGAAATAAAACTTTTGCTATGATGCCATAGAAATAGTAGTCTTGTTTATGCTACTTTTAGATATGTAATGTTGCTGTTAAATAATAGATGGTTGAATAAATAGAAGAAACAGAATCCAAATGCAGTCATTGAAATATGATTATTAGAAATTCTGATTGGTTTCGTTGTTTACTGTTTTATTCAATGTCTAAAAAGAAAACAGCAGTTCATTTTAGTGCAAAGAAAGTACTGTATAAGAAAAGACATTTGAGGCTTCAGTTTCTTTAAGTGCATCAACTTTACTTTGAAACTTGTTTGTTTGACAGATGAAGATTATTATGAAGATGATGATGAAGATGATCCAGATGCACTGAAGGATCCTCTGTATCAGATAGATTTACAGGTAGTGTATCTTGCAGTCTAACTTTGTTGTTTAATTTGTACTTCACTGTCTAGAATAATATTACTAAATACTATTCACCATATCTGTTTTTTAAATGGTCTCACAAATGAGTTTTTTAAAGCAACATCATAATGAGGAGGAGTATCATTAATGAATCCAAAGATATTGTACAGTACAGTAAAAGGCAGAGAGGGATAGGACAGAACACAATGCTCAAGTATTCTTTAAAAGCAGAGCAGTTTAAATCTTGTGGCAGAAAGCAGTTGAAAATCCCTTTCTGATAGTTATGTTCAGAATAATCCAAGAAAAAGTGTTATTCAGAGTGCAGTGAGCCTGTACTTTGGGCCTCAGAATTGCTAAAAATCTGGTATTGCAAGGCCCCTGAGGTTTTTTTAAAAATTTATTTATTTATTAAATTTATATGCTGCCCATCTCCCCCAGAGGGTGACTCTGGGCAGCTCACAATTAAAATCCAAAACAGTAAAAACAATAAAAATGTAAATAACCATATTAAAATTAGCTAATAACAATTCAATATAAAAATACTATATAGAGAATCTTTTATATAGAGAGTTTTACCTGTTATTCTTAGATAAGGGGGTTAAACAAAAATCAAACAGCCTAGTTTGAAGAGGCTTATTTGCAAAATAGAAAGATATAGCCATATATAGCTGGTCATGTAAGTGTTTACCTTTGCAGGTAATGAGAGACTGACTTATGTTAGAAGAGAATTTAAATAATCTTGAAGATAATTCAGCTGGGCTTCTTTGACCTCTTTGGGGTTGAGAAGTTATATACAGAATCTCTCTTCATCTTAGGCAGCTGATGGGAAATCTCAGAAAATCTTCTACCTTTTTCTTCTCTGTATTCTCTTTCATTCCATTGTTTGATGGTTTGTTAATAGTGGCAAGTGTCTTGGTTGTTTGGACATCTTAACATTGGATGGATCACTGACAAGAAAATTTTAATTTATTAGGATCAAAAGCTTTCCAAATGACAGTTAGTTTATTCTACTGTGTTGAATTTTAAGAAACGAATAAAATATTTAAATAGCATATTGAAGAAGAAAATACAATAAAATACAATAAAAGGGTAGATTAAAAACAGAGAACATTGAAAACGTTATTTTTAAATTTCTGGAAAAAATAATGGGGACATCATAGCAGGGTTCTGGTGAATTTTTTGGAAAGAGAATCCAGAAAAACACCTGAGGCAGAAAATATCTCTTTACTCATGACTTGCCTTCAAGAACAAATAATATGAAGACGAATTTTCCCATTCCCTGTGTGAGTTAATCAGAAATAAATGTTCTTCTGGAATATAAGCTTTCTTTGAATTACAACAGGAAATAGACCAGCAGTGAACATTATTCTAAAGCTGACAAGATTGTTCTCTTGACACCTCTCATACAGTTTTCACACATTCATGACTGAAATTAAAGCTGTAATCCTGGAAACAGTTTGAACTGAGTCCCATTGAAGTCACTCTGATATGTTTCAGAGTAAACATGCACTGCATTATTGTACGAGCAGATGTGCTGCCATGCCCCACAGCTGACTGGGATTGAAGTGCCTTACTCCCAAACTAAAAAAAAAAAAAGTTTCTGTAGCAGAAATTCTGCATTCATTCTTGAACAAATGTTAAACCCATACTTTGATTCTGCTTGTGAAAGTTACTCCATAAATGCTTTCACAACTACAATAAAAACTACAACTCCATTACCCTGTGTTAATGATGTTTTTTTCCCATCAAGTATTAACAACGCATTTTTCTTTCTTCTAGGCTTATCTTACAGACTTCTTATGCCAGTTTGCCCAGCAGCCTTGCTATGCAATGTTCTCAGACCATCTCAATGAGAATGAAAGAAGAGTTCTTCAGACCATTGGCATATAAATCCAGAGTAGTTGATCATATCTAACCAACATTTTCTGGTTTATTTCACATTTGTGACCTAAACATGAAACACCTTCCTTTATTCACAAGATATTACAGATACAGTTATTCTTTATTTGGAAGTACTGCTCGTGATTTAGAAGGCAACAAAAGGCAGATATGCATGGAGTTTTGCATATTGAATTCGCACAATGGGAACACTATTCTTCTGATAAACTTTCCAGTTTGGCTCTAAATATTTTTTCCTCCACTGAAAGGCACTTCACTGACTTTACAGTACAGTTTAATGAAATGAGGAAGAAGTTGTTGTCACTAGCTTGTTTATATAGAAACTGGGAAGTATCCCGCTTCACATTTTTGTTATGCAGGGTATATTATCTTGATCTAACCAGATGACATCTTTTTATATAGACATTTGGAATGAAATGGAATCTGCTTCCAGTCCAATACTTTGAATTAAAACCTGAAAAATAAAAATGTTAAAATGTTTCCATTTATAGAAAACCTTGGGGCTCTGCCATTTTCGTAATCTGCACTAAAACTATCATGCACCCATATTGAGCAGACTTGCTACATTAAAACTCAGTTCCTGTGATTATTGATGACTTTTGTTTAGAAACCAAACTTTTTTTATATGAAACTGATTGTATTTAACTTGTTTATTTACTTCATGAATCCATTTCTCCAATACTGTTTGCTTTGTTCACACACAGGATTATAGAACTGGCTAAACTGTAGTCCACAAATTAGTATAAGTATTTTTTATAGGGCAGTAAAATTAATATTGCTGGTTACTCTGCAAGTCAGTACGCCGATGCATCTCCCAACACCTTTTTGCCTTTTTCTCCCTTCTGGGAAATGAAATAAAACTATTCAAACATAAATTGGTATTGTTCTTTTTAAAATTCAGAAAAGAAAATGGTACCCTTTCTCTTGAACAACAAATTCTCTTTTAATCACCACTGAGAATACTGTATTTCTGTATAGGTATGGAAAGCAACTTTCTGCTTAATGTGTACTGCTACATTAACTAATCTGTGTTGACTTCACATGGTTTGAAGCGTGAAACTAAATGAAATTTGCTTCTATTAAATGCCTATTACAAGAAGCATTTCTGGCTCATCAAAAAGCCAGGACTTGCACAGAGTTATAGATAAGTAGTTAGACACATAGTATATCTCTGACCTCCTTGACAAAGACAATATGTATGAAAGCAACTATGTAAGTATTTCTCTCCTATGAATGAAGTAAATCTAATGGAAACTAAATTTTAGCATTCCACAACTGCTGAGAAACTGTCTTTAATTATTTCTGCTTTAGGATGTGTGTTTGCATAAAGAAAAATTACTAATATATAAATTACTAATATATTTTTATGTTGGACACTGAAAAAGAATTCTTGTCCATTATCAACTGAAATTATACCTTTGTAGCTTGATTGGAGTTAATCAAGATTTAGATAATTTAGAAATCATTTTTAACTTGAAGCTGAATTTGGAATATTTTATTTTAGGTGAGTAGTAATTTACCTGATCTGCTGACCTTATTTTTTAAAGGACACCTCAAAAATCTATGACGCAGCTTATTAATTTTTTATTTCTATTTGTCTGAGCAAAATATTTGGGCAAATAGTTAAAATAGATGCCTTAGGCTTTTTTCCTCTCAAAGTGGACAACTTGGGAATTTGTAATGCAAAGATCCAAGTATTATTAAATCTTTTCCATTTAAAATGGTCTGCCCTGTTGTTTCCTAACTTGTTCTTCAGGATTTCCAAAGTGTGTCCATAAATGACAACTCTTTGAAATAAAACAACGGTAAAAATTAACTTGTTATCTTGGATCTGAAGTACATAAAAATATACCTTTGTTATTGTAACATATTAAAACCACTACTAAGGGTACCAGAGAAAGCTTTTGTCCTCTTCATATTTATAGTTTAACCTTACTAATATTAAAATTACCTTTATTTACTAAGATGGACTTAAGACTAACTCATTTTTATTGCTATAATAAATATTGGATCCTTTACAAATACGCCAGATTTTAATGAAGGAAAATGCAAGCAGCTTCCCTGTTTTTTAATAAAAACATAATATGTTCAAAGAATATTCTTGGTTTCATATATATGGAGCAAAGATTACATAAGATCAAAAGTAATTTTAGAATGAGCTATAGCTGTTCATAAATCTTTTGTCTTTAGACATAAATCCTATAAATGTACAAACATTGCACTTTATTCTACATGCATAAGTCATGCCTGTACAAGTATGTTTTTAAATAATGAGAAAAACTGCTGCCCCATTCAGAAGACTGCATCATTGATTCAGCTGGTCAAGGAAGAACTATTTAACTAGCAAGTCCAGCTTCTGTTTGAGCATAGCCAGTAAAGAGAAACTCCCAACTCTTTGGGTATTTGGTTGTCTATTACATGTGTAAGGAATGGTTAGACTAACTGCCTGTTTTCCTTTTGTGTTTCAACCTTTTGCTGACCTAGTGACTCTGTGGCTAAGGGTCAGTCTAGATGCTATTAAGGAAACTAGAAAGGCTTCTTTTGCAAACAGGGAACTCAGGAAAGTTACAAGACGCTGAGCATGTAGAGGTTAGGCTGATGGTAATAGGTTATAAGAGGAAATGGGGAAATGTGGTTAAGCTAAAAGCCAAATGTCTTGCTTGCTCATATCAAAGCTCCTGAAAAGGGGAAATGTCTGCAATCTTCCCCGTTCCTCCTCCCTGCTCCCAGAGCGAACCATGCTAGCTCCGAAAATAAGGAAGTGCCTCCCACGGCTAGACCTTAGCCTGAAAAAGGGAAGAATGACCCAGAACAGGGATCTACAGGGACTTATAAGGAATAAGAGTTAGAGGCTTTCATGGAAGGGAACCCATTTGAATTAATATAAGCAAATGGGAGGGAAATAATATATTCTGGAATTAATATAAACAAATAAGGGCGGAGAATAATGTATTCTGTTCAAGTTTCTTTGGCTGTAAAAACTCATCTTTATTATGCTTTCTGATGACAGAAAAGGTGTAAAAGCTGTTGTAAACTGTTTTAAGGTGTGGCTGTTCTCTGTCTTCTTTCTGCCAGCAGGACAGAGAGTGGTCCACCCTGCTTTTCTCTTGGCCAAGATAAAAGCTGTACTTTCTTTGGAAAAACCTTGGTCTAGAGTCTCATTTGAATTTATAGATTCTGGGCTAGAAAACCTTATACATGTACTTTGTACAAGAGTTATCTTGGCGTGTTACCAGTTTCCTATGCTGCTAATTGAGTTGTCAAATTAAAACAACTTGTGAGTGAATATGTTCAGCAATTTTGAATTCTGTGGTGCTTCCATCTGAGTGAGAAGTTTGCAATCTTTGTCCCACAAATTGTTGCATACATAAATAACTTTTGTTAAGGATAGTTTTAATGCAATCCTAGCTGTATACAGTCTTTATACAAGATAAAAAGTATCTACAGAATGTATATTTGCAATAAGATGATTTGTTAGCTATTAATGAATCAAGACTGACTTGAAGGCAGACCTATATATATAAATGTTTTAAATATATAAGGGAATAGCACAATATTGATAGCAATATCTGCTCATGTTGATTTAGTTTTTAACATTTTCTGCCCTATCCTGTTCATAATTTTTTCAGGGCTTTATTTGGTTACTGTTAGATGGTAGCACTGGAAGGCCTATGTTGATATAAAATATTTGTGATCATTCCCTTTGATTAGATTCTGCTGAACTTTTCAGCTGGTGGTTTCACTTCGTTGAAAAGGCAAATAGAAGATTTACTAAGTTTGATGTCTCTTCACATGCTTCACCAGGTCTTTGACATCCTTTTAGAAAAGTTGTGAAAGTGAACTGTTTCTAATGACTTATAGAACTTTTTTTCTTGTTTAACAAAGGTGTTTTTTGTTTTTGCTTACACTACTATAAACCAAATACTTACGTTCATTCTGGGCCCCCTGAATCACAATTTTAATGTATAGCTCACAAGCTTTTATTTTTTTTTAAGTCTTGACCCTTTGTTTTAGCTGTCGTTGCCACTTACAGCATACTTGAAACACGTACTTTGAAAGGGGGGGTGTGTCTCAATGATCAGAACTACATGTTTCGTTAGAATATAAAGTATAGAATGAGATGATCTGCCTTGTAATACTGGTGCAGGAAGTGTATGGCATGCTGGGAATTGTAGTCGGATTTCACGGTCAGAAGTCTCGGCGAGGCTGTGGGATGTCGGGAGTTGTAGTTGACGTTCGGTCTTGGTCGGTGTCCTTGTCGCCCGTATTTCCTTCTCAACAGCAAAAGGCGGGCCATGGCGGCTGCGGCCAACTCGGGCGGACGGTCTAAGGTGGCGCCAAGCGTAGATTTTGACCATAGCTGCTCAGACAGCGTCGAATACCTGACTCTGAACTTCGGGCCCTTCGAGACGGTGCACCGGTGGCGCCGCCTCCCGCCCTGCGATGAATTCGTCGGGGCTCGGTGAGGCGTCTCTGGGGGTTTGGGGTCTGCGGGGAGCTCGGCGCGGTGTGGGGCTGGACAGCGCGTAGGGGCCACCGACGAGAGGGCGGATTGCGGAAGGGATGTAAACCAGGGTTGTCTTCTTTTTTCCTTCCAGCCGTAGCAAGCACACCGTGGTCGCCTATCGAGATGCCATCTACGTCTTCGGCGGGGATAACGGGTGAGTCTCCCTACGTTTCTCCCCTTGGGTGTAGCCCCTCCTGTCTCCCCAGGCGTAACGGAAATGCTGGATCCTTTTGCGCTTCTCCGCTCCCTAAGACGGCTTTCTTTTTAACAATGGGACAAGAAAAGTTTCTACCAGACAAGGTTTTCTGAGACGAGGATGCAGAGATTGGGGTGGGGGTGAGGGGGACTCTTTCTTTTATCTCGTGTTAGGAAATTATGTCTGTCATGCAGTTCGTACCGTGTGCAAGAAAAGAGAGAAGCAATGGAAACAGGAATGTTTACAGCAATGGAGCTTCCTCTTAAAATGTTGCCAGCCATGAAAATATGTCTAGACAGAGCAATTTTTTTTCTAACTTCACATTAGGAAAAAGTGTTGGCAACAAAAAAAGGCAAAGTGGACTTGAGTGTTTCTCAGGAGCATTGCTAACCACTTAAAACAGGGATGGGGAATCTCTGGTCCCTGGCAAGTTAGCTCTATTTTGGCTGCTCTGTGACTTTCTCTTTAGGGAAACACATAAGGGGCCAAAGACAATGAGAATGGCTGTGCTTTGATGCCTAACCCTCTCCTCTTGAAGAAAGCCATGGAGTACCCAAAAGTGATGAGCGCATCTCTAAGCGTTTCTGTGCTTTGCCTCCCCACCTTTCCTGCCCATTTCCCCCCAATCTTTCTCCTTCAAGAAAAGCTGTGCTGAATAACAGGCTGGGACAAACGATGTAGGATCATACAATCTTTGACATTTATTTATTTATTTATTTGATTTATATAGCTGCGCATCTCACTTTTACATGACTCTAGGGAACTTATAATAAAGTACATAAAATACACAATATAAAAAATAAACCAGTCATCTATACAGCCAGGAGACAGGCTCTATCCCACGCCCAGGGCCCTAGGCTCAGGCACAAAAAGTTTTCAAGGCCTTACAAAAGGCCAGCAGGGATGGGTCCAATCTAATTTCAGGGGGATTTCCCTTCTAAAGGGAAGGTGCTACAGCAGAAAAGGCTTTCCTTCTGGGCCCTGCCACCCGATCCTCCCTAGCCAACAGTACCCGGAGCATGCTCCTCCTGCCAGATCAGGTAGGATGGGTAGAGATATTGTATCAATATCCACATAATTTACAGGTAGTTAATTATTTATTAAGGGTTTTTAATTCCACCCTCCCCAAAAAAGTAAATCCCAGATGGATTTGCAAATGCAAAACAAAAAACCACCAAGCAATACAAAGATAAAAACTTCGGATTCCCTCCCCGGTTATACACACCCTCAGCATTAGACAACGTTAACAGTTATAAGGTGCTTTCCCTTATGGTATCCCCTGCTAAATGGGCATAATAACTTCTAGCCTTCTTAGCATCATTTTATAAGATAGCAGAGTAGTAGTATTAGTTAATATTTGCTCTTCTAGTTGGCAAGACTATCAGTTCCATCGACTGCCAACTGTCTGTCTCTGGACACAATGTGAATTGATTGCAGTGATTTCCTGGCTTTCAGGAAACTGTTTCCTTAAGATCAGTTTAGCTGACCAGAAGAAAAAGGTAAGAAAGAGACTGCAAGAGGGATTTGAGAATATAATACAGGCATTCTACCTGCAAGGTCACAGAATTTCTGTTGTCAAAAGAAGGAA